GGCGTACAAGAATCAAATTCTCTGTCTTTTCCAGGAGAGTCTTCTATCCTTGTAGCTAGGAACGTCTACTGCATTAAGACTATTGTCAGTTACAGTGAGAAAAGAATATGACCCAAAAGTCATGACAAACTTTGAAAATATGCACCCCTTCCCCTTCTAACCTGTGCCAGACCACATGCCCTAAACATGGGAGGGTTACCTTGCCAAGGGACACCCACTAGCAGAACATCTTTTTTTCCATGTTGATGAGTGCAAGGGCTTCTTCCCCACCACCATGGTCTGGTGATTGTGGGGGTTTGTGAACTGAGGGCTTATCTGCATCCGGAGACCCCCTTTACCAATAAATAGGCACCTAGATACCTTCTCCCCATGTGAATGAGTAAGGGGTAAATAATATGGTTATGTCTATATCTGGTCACCTGGGAGACCCCACCCCTTGTTTATATACCAGCTAACCCTTTCACTGTCATCACTTATATTGGCAGCATTCCCCACTCATTTCCCACACCCCCTCATAACCTGGCCACTGAAGAGACCATGAAATTAAGTATAAATGGTCCTCTTGACTGTCCTGATTAATGAATAGCTATGATTGTAGCAACAGATATAATAACAACAATTCATTCAATCATTAAAAGAGGGACTTTCCCAGATCTGCCGAAACACAGATGTGATCCTACGCAAAAAGCATAATTCATCGTTTTCTACCGATTATTAGTTATTTGCTTAACTTCATTATTACTGAAAATAATTTTGTCATATAGAGCAACTCTGGGGGCCAACATATTCCTACTGTTTACACTAGTGTATCATGATCTGTAAAGATAATAATTTTTGGTAGGGTTCCCTCAAGCATGAAAGTTATTTCATGGGTTCCTCTATGTTAAAAAGGTTGAGAAAGGATGGCGCTGAACTCTGTCTACACGTGGGGTAAAAAAACAGCTTTCGTAGTTTCTCCATGGTTCTTGGTGAGGGTACGAGAATCAAATTCTCAGTCTCTTCCAGGAGAGTCTTCTATCCTTGTAGCTAAAAACTTCTACTTCATTAAGACTCTCTATTGTCTGTTACAGCGAGAAAAGAGCTATGCTTTAGATAAGATCATATTCATCAGAAGGATCGGTGGTTAACACTATTATGTCCATTACTGGTGCAACTTAGGAGACCAGCCTTGATATGCTTTGGTTCCAGCACTGGAATGCATATAATACCAATATGTCATCTAAACAGGAAGGTAACCCATTATTGTGCAGAATTACTTTGTTGGTGGTGAGATCAATGGTTGTTTACAAGACTAAGGATAGAGAAACTAACCCTTTGCCTACCATTACTCCTGATTGAAATTGCAGTCAGTAGAATTCCAATTCTTAGTAAATTCAAACAGTTCAAATCTGAAGACAAAAGGCATGACATATTCTGAAAAGAAAATTCAATCCAACAACATTTGTTAGTAGCATCATTTATATTTAATATCACTTGCTCATAAATGGCTAAAATATCTCGATTTGTAAGATTTCTTACAAAATGTGTTATTTTCTTAGCGCCAGGTTTCTCGATTTTGCAGCTAACAACAAGATCTCTTTTTGTATCCCTTTATTGACATATTTTAACATCGTGATTAATTCTTATTTGAATTTATCAAGCACATACTATTGATATTTTTTCAGCACATCTGGATTCATCTTTCATGATGACTTGTAGTGACCTTTCCGAATAACTATAGTCAGGATTTCCCTGATGAGACTCAACAGAGCCATCTTCCTGCAAGGTTTTAAATGATATCCAGGTTATTAAATTAAAGGTCAGTTACATGGTTTTATTCTACTGGACTTGTGTGTTTATGACACTGTTGATCGTTCTCCTCTAATTTGGAGTCTCCAGCATTCATTAGAAAGTGGTTTGTTGATTCTCATTTCTATTTCAAGACGTCTGACTGATCCTCCCCGATCTGTGGCAAGGCAATAGCAAAAATTAGCATGCCAAATAAAAGTTTGCAGTTGTAACTGTGCCCAGATTTAAATATACAGTTATGATGGTGATTTCTAAGTAAACCAGCCATCCTTTTTTGCAAAGATATTTTGGGGTAAGAAAATGTCAAGGAGTTTCATAGAGCACCTGTATAGCTCGAGTCGATAGCTGAAAACAAGCAAGAAGCCTCAAAAGTGGTCAGGGTCAATGTGAATAGCAGGCAGTATTAGAGTCAATTTGCTTATTTGGGCATTTTTCTGAACATTGGATTTTTATCCCCTTTTGGCTGGAGCCAAACTTCATATATAGTAGTGGGTTTTTCTCCCTCTACTACATATTAAAACTTCTTTGTTATGCTGCCATTGGTTGTTAAGCAAGTACCTGCCACATCCTTAGCAACTAATGATGTTGCCTGGTTCCAATCACTTGCTGGCCAGAAATCCTTGGCCATGAAAAAAGAGTGACTGGGGATAAAATTAAAAAAATTACATGGGGTTCTCCCCGTAATGTATACCAGTGCCTTTAGGTCTAGTATGAGTTTTAAGGGAAACCCCACACAAAAACAAAAAAGAATAGCATGGGGCTCCTCATACATTCTTTACTAATTTCTTTGGGTCTGCTTGGATTTTAAGGGGGGACACCATGCAAAAATCAAGAAAAAAGTGTTGGGTCCCACTAAAAATCCACACCAGACCTTTGCCTGAGCATGAAGCCTCGAAGGCCAGAAAGGGGGGGTGAACATGCACCTTGCCAAGGGAGACCCACTGGCAGAACATCTTTCTTTCCTTGTTGAGGAGTGCAAGGGCTTCTTCCTCATCACCCTGGTCTGGTGATTGTGGGGGGTTTGTGAATGGAGGACATATCTGAATCTGGAAGCCCCCTTTACCAATAAATGGGCACCTAGATACCATCTCCCCATGTGAATGAGTAAGGGGTAAAGATATGGTTATGTCTATATTTGGTCACCTGGGAGACCCCATCTCTAGTTTATACCCAGCTAACCCTTTAACTGTCACCACTTATATCGGCAGCATTCCCCACTCATTTCCCACTCCCCCTCGTAAGCTGGCCACTGAAGAGACCATGAACTTAAGTATGAATGGTCCTCTTATTTATTTATTTATCGAGTTTATATAGCGCCAAAGGGTTTGCTCAGCACTGTACAATAGAGGGGGGGACAATACATGAAACAGTACAGTAACAACAAACAGCACACAAGGGGTAAGAGGGCCCTACTCTTTCGAGCTTACAATCTAGGAGGGAGGGGGTAGAGGTACAGGAGGAAATGGCTGTGGGGGATGGAGTGGTAGGAGGAGGGAAGGGCAGCAGCTGTTAGGTGAGGGTGGGGTAGGCTTCCCTGAAGAGGTGGGTTTTCAGGGAGCGCCTGAAGGTGAGGAGGGAAGGTGACAGTCTGATGGATTGGGGTAGTGAGTTCCAGAGGATGGGGGAGGACCTGGAGAAGTCTTGCAGTCGTGCGTGGGAGGAGGAGACCAGGGAGCAAGATAGAAGGAGGTCCTGTGAAGAGCGAAGGGTACGGGTAGGGTGGTACCTGGGAATCAGGTCGGTGAGGTAGTTAGGGGCAGTGTTGTGAATGGCCTTATAGGTCAGAGTGAGCAGTTTGAATTTAATGCGTTGGGCAATGGGGAGCCAGTGGAGGGAGACGCAGAGGGGGGTGGCAGAGGTGGAGCGGCTGGTGAGGTGAATGAGTCTGGCCGCTGAGTTCAGGATGGTCCGAAGCGGGGAGAGTTTGCACTGGGGTAGGCCGGTGAGGAGGGAGTTGCAGTAGTCCAGACGTGAGATAATCAGGGAGTATCTTGAATGAATAGCTATAACTGTAGCAATAGGTATGATAACAGCAATTCATTCAGTCGTTAAAAAAGACCTTCCCCCCCAGGTCCAGCCAGATCTGCTGAAACACGGATGTGATCCTAAGTGTCCCCTGCGCAGCCCAATTCTCCCTCTGTGCCCTCTGATCTCCTGCTTCTCTGCCCATTCATAGCAGGGAAACAGAAGGCTGTGAAAGAGAGAAGCAGCCTATGCTCTTTGGAGATTATGCAGTGACAAGCAGACACTGGAAAACAGCTGCATTCTGTTTCCCCTGCACAGCCCACTGTCTGAGCTGTGTTCTTTGTTCCCCCCCAGAGAAGACAGCAGGATTCCCCCCAGAGAAGACAGCAGGATGTGCAGGGCAGAAGAGTGCTGGCAGATCCAATGTCTTTGGAGATTATGCACAGCAGAGACATTGGAAAACATGGAAGTGTCTTATTTAATGACCCTTGCATTCTGTTCTCCCCTGCAGGAAACAGAAGGCCACTGTGAAAGAGAGAAGCAGCCTATGCCTTTGGAATGTGCAAGCAGACACTGGAAAACAGCTGCATTCTTTTTTCCCCTGCACAGCCCACTGTCCGAGCTGTGTTCTTTGTTCCCCCCCAGAGAAGACAGCAGGATGTGCAGGGCAGAAGAGTGCTGGCAGATCCAATGTTTAGAATGGCACAGCAGAGAATTGGAAAACATAAGTGTCTTATTTAATGACCCTTGGTATGTCCTGAATGAACACCAGGGTAATCAGTGTTGAACACCTGGTGTTCATTAATAAATGCTTAGACAGTAAACATGAATGAACTGTCTATTAATTTCGTGAATGAACAGGAAGTGCAGGATCCATCCAGACCACATATATATATATAAAAATCCAGGGCTTTTTTAAAGCAATCCACTGAGCTGGCCAGAACCAACTCTTAAGGGAGTCTATTCCACATTCTCACAGCTCTTACTGTGAAGAACCATTTCCGTATTTGGAGATTACCGTATTTTTCGCTCCATAAGACGCACTTTTTTCCCCCCCCAAAAAAGGGGGGAAAATGTCAGTGCGCCTTATGGAGCGAATATGGAGAGGCCGGTCCGCTATTTCCACCACCGTCGGGTCAGAATACCGGGGCCGACCGCTCAGTTCTGCAACAGGACCTTACCTGTTCCTCGGTCCATCACTGCGCAGTCTTCCAGCGCCGGCTTCTTTAGTGTGGGCTCTCGGCTTAACAGCCAGGTGCCCAGTGCGCATGCGCGAGTAGCGCTGCACTTTGTGAATGGTACGGCGTCTTCTGGGACACATGACAGGTCCCAGAAGACGGCGGACCAATCACAAAGCGCAGCGCTTCTCGTACATGCACACTGGGCACCAGGCTGTCAGCCAGGTGCCCACACTAAAGGGAGGACAACTCTGCGGAAGTGGGAGCGGGTACCTGTCAAATTCAGGTACCCGCTCCCCCTCCCTCCCCAAAGGTCAGCAGTCATCTCCTGTACTGTCCACAGTCTCTGGTCATCTCCTGTACTGTCCGCAGTCTCTGGTCATCTCCTGTACTGTCCGCAGTCTCTCGTCATCTCCTGTACTGTCCGCAGTCTCTGGTCATCCCCTGTACTGTCCGCACTGTGTCCGCAGTCTCTGGTCATCTCATGTACTGTGTCTGCAGTCTCTGGTCATTCCTTGCACTGCACTGTATCCCTGTAGTCTCTCTGGTCATCCCCTGCACTGTCCGCAGTCTCTGGTCATCTCCTGTACTTTCCGCAGTCTCTGGTCATCTCTTGTACTGTCCGCAGTCTCTGGTCATCCCCTGTACTATGTCTGCAGTCTCCTGGTCATCCCCTATACTGTCCGCAGTCTCTTGGTCATCCCCATTACTGTCCGAAGTCTCTGGTCATCCCCTGTACTGTCCGCAGTCTCTGGTCATCTCCTGTACTGTGTCTGCAGTCTCTGGTCATCTCCTGTACTGTGTCCGCAGTCTCTGGTCATCTCCTGTACTGGGTCCGCAATCTCTGGTCATCTCCTGTACTGGGTCCGCAGTCTCTGGTCATCTCCTGTACTATGTTTGCAATCTCTGGTCATCTCCTGTACTGTGTCTGCAGTCTCTGGTCATCTCCTGTACTGTGTCCGCAGTCTCTGGTCATCTCTTGTACTGTGTCTGCAGTCTCTGGTCATCTCCTGTACTATGTCTGCAGTCCATTGGTTCAGAATATTTTTTATCTTGTTTTCTGCCTCTAAAACCTAGGTGCGTCTTATGGAGCGAAAAATACGGTACATTTCTTTTCCTCTATACATAAAGAGTGCCTACTTTTCCTTTGTGATGACCTCAGGGTGAATAACTCTACCCCGAGTTCACTATATGAACCACTGATGTATGATGTTGATCATATTATCATGTGTGATCATATCCCCCCTTATGTATTATACATGTTGATCATATCCCCCCTTATGTATTATACATGTTGATCATATCCCCCCTTAATCTTCTCTTCTCAAGAGAGAATAAATTCAGTTCCTCTAATCTTTCCTCATAGCTGAGCTCCTCCATGCCTCTTATCAGTTTGGTTGCCCTTCTCTGTACTTTCTCCAGTTCCCCAATGTTCTTTTTGTGAATTGCTGCCCAAAATTGAACTGCAATTCCAGATGAGGTATTACTAATGATTTGTACAGGGGTAAAATGATCTCTCTCTCTCTCTCTCTGGGGTCTATACCTCTTTTAATACAAGAGGGGATTTTGCTCGCTTTAGAAACTGCAGCTTGGGATTGCATGCCATTATAAAGCTTGTGATCTACCAGAACTCCCAGATCCTTCTCAACCATTGATTCCCCCAATTGTACTCCCCCTAGTATGTATGATATCACTTTAATGCATATAAAATCGTGTACAAACAAAAAGGGATGACACAGAGGGACTTTCCACAAACTGCAGCTTTTATAATAGCTTTATATTAGAATAAAATGTCCACTTTATATCTATAGTAACGCTAATTGATTTACAACTACTAAACTAAACTAGTTAAACTAGAAAAATGCATTTTTATGTTTGTTGTTTAACATCTTTTGTCTATAGGTTGCACAGAAAATAAAACCATTTTTGCAAGACAATATTACTAAAAAAAAAGCCTTGTTTGTACAAAGAAAAAATGATGTATGCATTACTTTGTTATCTTGGTGCTCAATTGAACTGTCAGTTTAAATCAGCTTAGTACGTTGCAGGTGCATCAGGTGTTCAAAATCTTACTGTTTATATCAGAAAAGCATGTCCCCTGCCAGCATGCTGCAGAGTGGGACAGTTGCTATCCGTGGTGAAGCAGTGATCTCTTTTCAAAGGTCTGACACCCCCTACTCAGATAGGTGTACGTTTATGAACCAGCGATAAATGATCGCTTCTCAGTTCTCCGGCATTCTCGGAGAACACAGTTCTCCTGTGAATGCAGTTTATGAAGCGGTTCTCCGAACGAAGGGAGAACAGTCTACAAACGCTGGAGAACGGTCTACAAATGCTGGAAAACGGCTGATTTTACTATAATCTTGCGAGTTTACAGTAAAAGATCAGTTTCCTAAGCAGAGGTAAATTATCGCTGCTTAGTTTGCGGTCCCTCCGATTCTCCAGCTCTGGGCTGGAGAATCTGGAGGGAGAACTCCAGTGAAGGGCTGAACATGTTCTCCACTGATCTCCTGAGTGTCATAATCTGTGAATGACCAGAGAATAGTTGCGATCCTCTGAATCGCAGCTATTCTCTGTGTCATAAATGGACACCTTAGTGCCAGAGTTCTTCAATCAGCAGGGAGCATAGCCTTCCCTTATTGCAGAGCTATTGGTCTTACTCAGCAAGTAATTTGGCAGACTTCTGCAATGAAGTTACTGCCAGCCCACAGAGAGCAGGGATCCCACTCTGCAGCTGCTGGCAGGGGATAGACTTTTCTACTTAGGCAGTAGCTGCTTTAGTATGAAAACAATCTATAAGTCACTGAACACCTTTTATTTTGATGCATCTGGGGTGTATTGAGCTGATTGAGAGCTGAGAGTTCAGCTGGGTTTTAGTAAATGACAAATGTATTGCCAAATCAATAGCCACAACACAGAAATGTAAAAATGCTCTTGTCCACAAGGGATTGGAAGGTCCTTGAGGGTTAGAGACTGATGTGAATGATCAATATATGTGAAAAGTGCTGCTTAACTTGACAGCGCTATATAAGTATTGGTAATAAATAAATAAATACAGATGTGAGAGTATTGGCTAACTTTGAGTTGACTAGTTTGAATTAGCCAGATGGCAAACATTAAGGATAAAGTCTGTACTTGCAACTGAATTAAATTTTATTTTATAAATTATAGATCTTCTTTAGAGTGGAAATCTTGTCTTCAGTAATTTGTCTTTGAACTCTGCAAACTGCCGCACTTGACTGCCCAGGAATACAGAGACACAGATCTATAAACCTGTAGCATAGACTTTGCTGAAGAAGACACAGCCTGATTTGCATCTAATCATGTTTTGACCAGTTTTTCATTGCAAAAACAAACTACCAAATCAAAGGAACTTATCAACAACAGTTTCTATGAAAACTGTGAAACAATGAATCTGTTGGTTTTAGGTTTTCCCAAACCCAAATGATTGTTTTTGTGATCATACATTAGTTGACATTTGCTAAACAAATCCTTGTGTAAGAACCTTCCCCCCCAAACCCTAAGGGCTCATGTACACAACCAACTCCTAAACTCGAGTTTAGGAGGTTTTGGAATTTTTTTGCCAAAGCTCCTAAACTCAACTCCTTAAAAGCCTATGTGTCCACGTAAACAGGCTTTTAGCAGAGTTTAGGAGCTGCTGCGTTTAGGTGAGGTTAAACCTCCCTCTCCTGAAGGCGGAAGAATCATGTTCAGGATAGGAATATTTTGACTGCTGACTGTGGGAAAACGCAAAACTGTGGTACCGCGTTCAGCTGCGATTTTGCCACAATTTGCATTTTCCCGCGGCCGGCGGTCGGTCAGGGTAGGCTCGTGTACATAGAGCCTAACACTTAGTCTAAGACTCAAATTAAATTCTTAAAGATGAAATGAACTCTATAAACAATGCCAAAAAACAGACATAGATCAAAGAACTAGTCACAAGTATTGTCAGTGGTCTCTGCAGCAAATCCTTTCACCATTACTGACTATCCATGCCTTGTTCTGTACTTTGTCTCTTTGTCTCCATCTTGATAGAGATAAAACATAAGGCTTCATGTACACGAGCCTACTCTGACTGCCGGCCAATGGGAAACACAAATTGCGGCAAAAACGCTGTACCGCGGCTGGCACGTTTTGCGGTTTCCCACGGTTGGCGGTCAAAACGTTCCTATCATAAACTTGATTCTTTCATGTTCAGGAGAGGGAGGTTTAACCTCACCTAAACGCAGCAGCTCTTAAACTCTGCTCAAAGCCTGTGTGTACATGGACACATAGGGATAGATTTACTAAACTGGAGAGTGCAAACTTTAGTGCAGTTCTGCACAGAAACCAATCAGCGTCCAGGTTTTATTATCAAAGCTTAACTGAACAAGCTAAAGTTGGAGTCTGATTGGCTACCATGCACAGCTGCACTGGATTTTGCACCCTGCAGTTTTTGTAAATCAGGTTTTAAAAAAAAATGCCAAAAGCTCATAAACTTGAGTTTAGCAGCTGCTTGTGTACTTAAAGCCTTACTTTTGTCAGAGCATCCATGCGCCTTGACCAAATCTGCCACTGCCTATTCACCTCACATACACAGAACATTCTCCAATAGACCATCTGTTCTTAAAGCTCAACTCCAGGTATTCCTTTAAAAACGTTTGTTTGGTGCCTAACAGTTTCCTTTACTAATGTGCTCTCTTTCAGCTCTGTATAAACTGTATGTAACATCAGCTACATACAGTATACAGCTCTACAATCTGGTAGCAATACTGGGACTTCCCATCTGCTGACGAAACAAAATCTGTCAGAGATCTACTCAGCCATAAACATTGACCCCTTATCACATGCCTGACAAAGGGGTCCTACGCGGCTCTGAAACGTTGCACTTGTACATTTGCGATAAAAGACCATATCGCAAAAGTACAAGTGCAGCGTTTCGGAGCCGCGTAGGATCCCTTTGTCAGGCATGTGATATGGGGTCAATGTTTATGGCTGAGTAGATCTCTGCCAGATTTTGCAATAAAAGTTTGGGACGACATTTGTAGATCTTTGATGTGCTGGCCAATATGTGCATTAATCTTAGATATTTCCAGTACCTAGCTGGTAGTTGCTGCAGCACCCTCTACTGATGCCCCCTGTTTCCAGGAATGTGTGTGATGGGAATACAACATTTGATACAACATCCTTGGTATGCTGGCGAATATGTGCATACATCCAAATATAAGGCGAAAGAAAAACTAACATTTTCAAGACAACTCTGGAAATAATCCCAGTCATTTCCATTTCTCTATAATGGACTAATAAGGATGGCTAACAGGATCAGTGTATTGTCACAAGCATAGGTCAAAGCAGTCAGTAAAGTTTACATTCCAGTCACAAGCCAGGGGTTCCGAAAACAGGAATACTGCCAAATCACACAACACAAACAA